ATGCTCTCCAAGGTGTTCCATCGATCTATATGTCTATCCTTATGACAGCATCAGACTATCTTGATTGCTATTGTTTTATGGTACTTTTTAAATGAGAGGTATGAGGCCTCCAACACTGTTCTTTTTCCAGATTATTTTGGTTATTTGGATCCCTTGCATTTCCATAAATTTCTAGATCAGCTTGTATATTTCCAAAAACATCCCACCAAAATCCCACTTGGATTTTCTCAGTGATTGAATTGAATCTATGTATTGATTTGGATTAAATCTATGGTTGATTGAATTAAATCTATCTATTTACTGACAATACTGAGTCTTCCAGTCCAAGAGCGTGGACTATCTGTCCATCTACTTACAACACCTGAGCTCTCTCAGCAACGGCTTCTAGGTCAATGAGCAAGTCTTGCACTTCTTTCTTTAAATTTATTCCTAAGCATGTTACTCTTTGGGGGAATATTGCACCTGGAATGGTCTTCTTGCTTTCATTACAGATTGTCCAAAGCTGGTATACGGAAACACAACGGGAGTATATGTGGTGATCTTCTGTCCTGACACTGCGAGCTCATTTATTGATTTTTATAGTTCTTTGCTGTTGATTCCCTAGGATCCTCTACAGAGAGAATCAGTTGTATGTGAAGAAAGATCATTTTGTTTCTTCCTTTCCAACTGGAAGCTTAAGTCTCTTTTCTCAATTTTGGTTTTGGCTTTGGTGCTTGTTGCTGCTTCTGCTGCTGCTGCTGCTCTTGTTTTGTCATCGTGCACCAGCAAGAGCCGTCATGCGTTTGGAAGACCCTGGTGTGAAATGCATGGACATTTATAACTATTTTGTCTTCTTAAAGAATCAAGCCTCCATTTGCTATGAAATATCCCTCTTGGTGCCTAGTAAATATTTCTCTTGTCTTCAAGTCTATTTTTCTAATTCTAAGAGACCTTCTCCAGCTCTCGTGGTCACTGTTCACATGGTGTCCCTTTTTCTGTCATTTTTTTTACCTACTTGTGTCTCAAATCTGAAGCATTTCTCTTCTAGATCACAGAGCAGGATGGTGTTTTCCATCTAGTCTGACAGTATCTGTCTTTTGATTGAAATGTTTAATCCATTTACATTTAGTGGAACTCTAGAGAGGGTTGGACTTAGGTCTGCCCTTTCACTATCTGTTTTCTATACGTCTCGTGTTGTTTACTGCCATCTTTTGTATTAAATAGATACTTGGCTCTGCCCCCTCTTCCTCCCTTCTATCGAGTTGTGAGTATGGTTATGCCTGATTGAGTCACACAGCCTGAAGGCTCTGATCCTTTTTCTCCATTTTTCCCTGCTCTTCAGATTGGATGATTTATCTTGATCGTCTTCAGTTTGCTGAGTTTGTGGATTCCTTTCTCAGCCATCTCAGATATACTGTTGAGCTCTCCCAGAAAATCTTCCACAGAAGCAGCAGTACTTTTCAACTCCAGAGATTCCATTAGGTTCTCTTTTATCATTTCTGTGTCTTTATTTTCTCTATTCCATAAGTCATTATCCACATACTTTCCTTTAGCTCTTTAAAATTTTTTTAATGTTTATTCATTTTTGAGAGAGAGAGAGAGACAGAACATGAGCAGGGGAGGGGCAGAGAGACAGAGACAGAACTCGATGGGGCGGTGGGGGGGTGGGGCTCAAACCCATGAACTGGGAGATCACGACCGGAGCCGAAGTCAGGCATTTAACCAACTGAGCCACCCAGACACCCTTCTCCTTTAGTTCTTTAAACATGGTCTGCGTTAATTCTGTATTTACTCTGAATTCTGGCTTCCTCGTGGTTGGTGAGTTCTTGCTGAGGTTGGGCCTGAACACCTTCAGTCAGGAAGGCTTCTGTTTCTTGCCAGTGACTCTGGGTGCTGGTTTGGAAGCACATTTTGAGTTCTGGCCATTTACAAATCTGCCCTTGATGTGCGTCTTTCCCAACCTTCTCATGTCTCCTCTGCATGTGTGTGAGGCTTCACACTGAGCTAGGAGTGAGGTGATTGCCAGGGCCCTCTCTGGTCTTGCCCGAGTACACTGGTCTGCAATTCGATCGAACCTCCGGCAGCGGTAAAGTTGACCTCCCACCTCAGCTGCCACGGAGATGGCTCCTGTCTCGGGAAGTTCTTACGGGCGGGGGATGCCCAGCTCTGTACACCGGAGACTCCCCCTTCCGACCTGACCTTCCGATGCTCCTCTGTGCCCCTGTGTCTCTGCTCTCTTCCCGGAACCCTGAGCTGGCTGTTCTCAGCCCCTCGTCCAGGGTTGTCCTCGTGCTCGGGGAGGAGGATTGGCTCCGCGGGTCAGGCCACCCAACCCAGATCGCTTTTGGAAAGCACATCACCTCTGGGATCTGAGGACCCAAGACTGTGGGTCGGTGGCCTGCAGAGTCTGTGAGCAGAGCCGGTTGGACGGGTGCGGCAAAGCACAGAGGCAGGATTCGAGAAAGCTGTCGGGGGTCCTCGGATTCCTGCTGCTTCTGAAGCAGAGCCCTGACACCTTTAAAATGCCAGCGTCTCACAGCGTGGGCCAGAAACACAAACGTCTCTGTGCACCTAGCACCCCCAGAAATACAGGCCGTTTCTTGTAACTTGAGGTGGGTGGAAACAGTCGGGGGCGAGGGCTTGAAGAGAGTGGCCCTGGCCCAGACTTCATGTTTGGGGGATAAACGCCATGCAGACAAGCTTTTGCTGGGCCAGAGGAGGGGGCATGAATGGGGACCCCGCTGCAGCACTGCTGTCCCGGTGATGCCCCCAGGGGCGGCCAGAGTCCACCTGCCCCTGGGGGGCCGCCTGGGACACTCTGCTCTGCCTGAGGGATCTGCCCTGCCCCATGGGCGCCTGTCTCCCTCCAGCCAGGGGCAGCCTGCCTCCTGGGGGCACGGACACCCCGACGACCCCCAGCACCTGGGGAGAGCCGGTCAGGGAAGGACCTGGTCTCCCGGCCTGAGCGCCGGCCCACCACGGGGCTCCCCCTCCTTCTCCGGGCTCCCTGGACTCGTTCTCCCTCGAGCTCCCTGGCCCCTAGTCCTCCTCTGCTCAGGGACCACCGTCTGTCCAGGCTCCACACGCGGGCACATGGGGCAGGTCGTCTGGAACTTCTGGACTCGCGCTTCCCTGCCAGTACTGGGCAGACGCCTGCCTCCCAGACTCGCCAGAAGGGCCACAGCGCAGGAAGCTTCAGAGCCTGCAAAAGAAGTGCCACATGGGGGGACCCCGTCGGGTCGTGCTCACCACGTGGGGGGACCCCGTCGGGTCGTGCTCACGGATGAGGGCACGGTGCTCGGCCCACGTCAGGGACCTGAGATCGCGGCTGAATGAGGGAAGGAGGCAGAGAAAGACGGAGTGAATGAGGGAGGGAGTGAAACCACAGAAGCCGGGTCCACACACCAGGTCAGGCCAGAGGCTCGGGTCCGAGGGCGTCACAGCCTGGGCCCTGGAAGGTGGCACAGGACACGTCCTTGTGTGCTTCCAGCGCTGACCTTCCTTCACTTGGTACCTGCTGACACCCTGGGTCTTCTCCACCTGCTCCCCAGACAGTGCTGAGTGTTCCGGGAGCAGGACGGCAGGCTCAGGCTAAGGAGAGGTGTCCCGGACCCGGGGCCCCGGAGGAGCCGGTGACAGCGGGTCCCATGGCTCTTGATGTCCTCCAGGCACCAGGCCGTGACTCCACCTTATCTCTCAGAGAATCCAGCGTCTCATCAAGAAGGCCTATTATCACCCCGTGTCACAGATGGGGAAACAGAGGCCAATAGCACATCTGGGTGGTTCGGAAGCAAGCTAGGTCAGGAACCCCCTCTCGTTGACTTTTGCTTGTCCTAACCACAGGCCTACATCTCAGGGTCCTGGAGCTCAGGGTCTCTCTTCCTGGGGTCCCCACCCACCAGCTGTGAGGCCTCTCTGGACTCAGGGGAGCAGAGCTGACAGACCCCCTGGGACAGGGCACGGTGCCAGGGGAGGGTCCCACCCTGGGCTCAGTGGGCTCTCCCAGTCCTGGGCCATCGGGTCAGTACCCTGCAGGTCGAGGACTTCTCGCTGGGAATCTGCTGGGGCTTGTGCTTTCGCACATGGTCACCTGGGCTGCCAGCGCCCAGACCATGAGCCTGCCCGTCTGAAGGTGACCAGCGCTGCCCCCATGGGGTTTCATTAGCCTGAGTCCTTCCGGGGACGTCCCGCGTCTCTGACACCTGCTCCCCATGAGGGTCGCCTCCCGCTGGATGTGCGGGTGTTTGGTCGTCATCCCTGTGAATGCATTGGCTTTGGGGCGTTTTCTGGCCCAGAGGCCTGGGAACCCTTTCTCTGGCCTGGGCTTGTGAGGACGGCTTTCCCCTCTGTGGGGCGTCCATCCAGATTCCTGCATTTCCCTACTTCTCTTTGGGCCACAGGAGGACCAGCTGTGTCCTGTCTGGCGTCAGGCTGAAGTGGCCCAGGACGAACTGGGTCTCCACCCCAAGATGGAGCCCATTTTCACCACAAAGGCCTCGTTTTGCACATCGAATCTTTAGCCATCTGGGATTTCAATATCAAATATGAAAAATTTTGTCTCAAAAATCACACACAAGAATTATTGTGTCCCATGTTAAAATATGTTTGCTGACAAAAGGCACCTTTTGCATGATTTCATTTATAGGAAACATCTGGAGAAGGTACCAGAACAGAGAAAACGCAGATGAGGGGCTCCCAGGGCCGGGGCAAAGGACGAGTGGGGAGTGAGGGCTTTGGGGACGCGGTGTCCCTTGGGGACTGAGATCCTCTGCTCAGTATCCTGTGGCTGGTCGCCCAGCGCTGTGGGTGCAGTCAGTGCTCAGGAGTCGTACGATGTAAAATGTAAATGATTTAATGAAAATTAATGACTGTAAACAAAACGGGAAAAAAATAAAGAATTAAAATAAAGATGAGGGAAGACATGAGGGGAAAAAGGAGGAGAGGATCCTGTGGGGTGTGGAGGGCGGGGGAGGGAGCGGCGCAGGGCTCCGGGCTCAGGTCTTCAGGGTCTCCTTTCGGTGATGACGCCGGTGCAGGGGCAGGAGGAGGGGGATTCACAGGGATCGGGCGGGGAGGGGCAGGGGGAGGAACAGCCGTGGGTGGAGGAGCGGCTGAGGGTGGACGAGCAGCCGCTGGTGGCGGAACAGCCACTCCTGGAGGAGCAGCCGAGGGGGGAAGAGCGGCCGCGGGTGGAGGAGGAGCCGGGGTTGGAGGAGCCACTGCGGGTGGAGGAGCAGCTGCCGGTGGAGCAGCAGCCGAGGGTGGACGAGCAGCCCCCGGTGGAGGAGCGGCCGAGGGTGGACGAGCGGCCGAGGGTTGACAAGCAGCTGCGGGTGGAGGAGCAGCTGAGGGTGGACGAACAGCCGCCGGTGGAGGAGCAGCTGAGGGTGGACGAGTGGCCGCCGGTGGAGGAGCAGCTGAGGGTGGACGAGCAGCCGCCGGTGGAGGAGAGGCCGCGGGTGGAGGAGCAGCTGCCAGTGGAGCAGCAGCCGAGGGTGGACGAGCAGCCGCCGGTGGTGGAGCGGCCGAGGGTGGAGGAGTCGCCTCCACCAGCGGGGGAGCAGCTGCGGGTGGAGGAGCAGCCGCGATATGAGGAGCAGCTGCGGGTGGAGGAGCAGCCGAGGGTGGACTAGCAGCTGCCGGCGGAGGATCAGCCGAGGGTGGACTAGCAGCCGCCGGTGGAGGATCAGCCGAGGGTGGACGAGCAGCTGCCGGCAGAGGAGCAGCCGAGGGTGGACGAGCAGCAGGCGACGGAGGAGCGGCCGAGGGTGGACGAGCAGTGGCGGGTGGAGGAGCATGCGAGGGTGGATGAGCAGCCGCCGGTAGAAGAGCAGCGGAGGGTGGATGAGCAGCCGTCAGTGGAGGAGCGGCCACGGGAGGAAGAGCTGCCCTTTCCTGCGGGGGAGCAGCCGCCGGTGGAAGAGCGGCCGCAGGTGGAGGAGCAGCTGCCGGTGGAGCAGCAGCCGAGGGTGGACTAGCAGCCGCCGGTGGAGGATCAGCTGAGGGTGGATGAGCAGCCGGCAGCGGAGGAGCAGCTGAGGGTGGACGAGCAGCTGCGGGTGGAGGAGCAGCTGAGGGTGGACGAGCAGCCGTCAGTGGAGGAGCGGCCGCGGGAGGAGGAGCTGCCCTTTCCTGCAGGGGAGCAGCCGCCGGTGGAGCAGCAGCCGAGGGTGGACGAGCAGCCGCCGGTGGAGGAGCGGCCGAGGGTGGAGGAGTCGCTTCCACCAGCGGGGGAGCAGCTGCAGGTGGAGGAGCAGCCGCGGAATAAGGAGCAGCTGCGGGTAGACGAGCAGCCAAGGGTGGAGGAGCAGCTGCCGGTGGAGCAGCAGCCGACGGTGGACTAGCAGCCGCCGGTGGAGGATCAGCCGAGGGTGGACGAGCGGCCGGCGACGGAGGAGCGGCCGAGGGTGGACGAGCAGCGGCGGGTGGAGGAGCAGCTGAGGGTGGAGGAGCAGCCGCCGGTGGAGGAGCGGCCGAGGGTGGAGGAGTCACCTCCACCAGCGGGGGGGCAGCTGCAGGTGGAGGAGCAGCCGCTGTATGAGGAGCAGCTGCGGGTGGACGAACAGCTGAGGGTGGACGAGCAGCTGCCGGTGGAGG